CAGCAGATTGTGCAAGTTTTCCCCCATCTTTGCAAAGGCAATCGTCCCTACCTTAACAGTTCATTTCGGACGTGTTTCGTCCAGAGCAATGTCAATGTGCTCACCAGTCGGCTGGGGACGGAGTTCATCTAACCGTTCCCGGTCAGTGATTGCTATTGCTTCTCTTTCTTGAGAGTCACCAGCTGGTCGACCTTCCGCTTCTTGCCGCTTGCTGGTGGGGTAGACTAAGGTTCCTTGACATTGTCAAGATCTATTGGCTCCATGTCCCAGCCAACTGCCGTGGGCTTGACGTTTGAGAGATAGCACTCTCGAGCCGTCTTCTAATCTCCCTTCAGGGAGCCAATATAACCATTATCCTTGTCAAATTTCAGCAAAATGAGGGAGGGAATAATGACGGCCTTGGATTCGTTCAGAGTCGGACAACCTAGGATGAGATTGTATGCGGTCAGCTCTTTTACGACCAAGAACCGGACGACCATGTGGCGCCCATCTCCCTTCTTTTCCAGCTGGATGGGTAGATCAATACGGTCGACTGGGTGCACAACTCCACCCCCAAAACAAACTAAGGGGTGAGTGACCTTGTGCATGCTGTCTGGGTTATACTTCAGCTTGGACAAACATCGCCAACTGATGATATCAGACGGGTATCAATAAGGATCTGACTAACCCTTTGGTTAGCTACCTTACATTCAATGACTATGGGTTCGTCATGTGTCCGGCAGACATCGCCCCGGTCCTTCTCAGAGATGACAACCTCAAGAAAAGTGTCGGCAGACATCTGGCCTTCATCGACTGAGCTGACATTCATTTGTCTGACATGGTCCTTGGTGCCTCTGATAGTTGGGCCTCCGGAGGCAAAGTCGTCTATAATGGTCCAGATCATGTCCGGATCTGTGTCCGAACCACTATTAGCCTTTGCTGGCTTTTTGGACGGCTGCCTGGGGTCCGTCTTCAAAGTCACCTTGGACTTGAGAATATAGGATTTCAGTACTCCCTTGTTTGCCAAACTATCCAGCAACCGCTTGAGGCTATAGCAGTCGTTGGTGTCATGGTCAATATCCTCATGGAAGTGACAGTACTTGTCCTTGTTCCAGTTTTTGGCCGAACCTTTCATCGCCGAGGGCCTTTCAAGTACCACCCGGTCTTTGATTTCCGTGAGGATGGTGTAGCAGTCTTTGTTAAACTCGTACCTGGGGACGTACGATTTAAACTCTTTCTTTTTCTTCTTAGACAATTGATCAGAGTCGTCAACTGCCCAAACTTCTTTTCTCTTTTTGCTCTCTTCAGCTTTTTGAGCCGGCTGATCTTGCCGACTCTCTTTTTGTTTGTTAGGCTTCTTTGAGTCTGACTGCTTGCTAGTGGAGCAAAGCTCAGTCTCCTGTACATAAGCTTCTTCCTCCCTCGGCGCTTCCTAAAGAGTAAAGATTCTCTTCCGGACGAGGTCAAACTTAAAAGTCGACCCATCTTTCAGACCCTTGAAGAAGTCTGTATAAGCAACATCATCAGACAGCCCTTGAATCTGGTTCTCACCAGATTGTACCGCCTAACGTAAGAAAAAAGCCCCTCCCTGTCTCCTTGTTGTTCCGCGCTCAAGTAGAGGCTTGTCTTCTTAGCGGGTATATTCATGGAGAAGTTTGAGGCGAACGAGAGCGGAAGCTTCCTAAAATTGTTTATGAACCAAGATGGCAGGTTGCCGAACCAATGTTGGGCAATACCCTTTAGTGTGGCTGGGAAGAATCTACACCAGGTGGCATCATCCAACCCCTGCAAGTACATGAGGTTGGTGTAGGCCATCAGTTGATCTTTTGGGTTGGTGGTGCCATCATCATAAGCACCAACCAAGACATTTTTAACCTTGGCCGACTGTGCCACCTCGGTTATTTCCTTGGAGAACGCAGCCGGTTGTTCTCCAAGCTTGAGCAGACGAAGCTGCCAGTCCAAGGGCTGGACTTGATATGCCGCCTGACCTCCGAAGAGGGCAGGTTGCTAATAAGGTTGGGCAAACGGCCCGTATGATTGATGGGGCACATACGACGCCTAGCCTATCACATGAAGACCTGTATGGACGGACTGGCCGTCTGAGAGGTGCTCCTGTGCAGATTGGGAATACCTCATCGAGGTATTATTGAAGTTGTCTGGCATTGTCGGCGTTGATGCCATGTCAGACAGCTGGCTATTCCTCCTGTGCTCGATGATTTGCCGAGCATCAGTATAAGTCAGTCATTTTGTTGCCATCCGGCTGTACATGCCGAATGGGCTTTCTTTGGTTTTCCCCTGGGAGACGGAACTTAGTCTAGTCAAGTAAGGGTCGGTCCCCCTCCTTTTGCTTGGGATGCGGAGTGGGCTGCCTGTCCTTGACCGGCTTTGTCTTCCCATAGTGAGAAAGTTTCTTGGACGACAGTCCTTTGCTTGGACCAGCCGTCCGAGTCTTGATGAGATCTCTCATCTCAACCTTGAAATTCGTCGTAAACTTGACAAACTCCTCATGGGTAATGTGAGCAGTATGCCCTTCAGCCTGAGGTCGACCGACTGTCTTGCTCGAACCCGCCTAGTTTTCGCCTCGTTCCCTGTTATCCTTGGAACGGATGCATCTAGAAATGAGGGATCCATCTTTGGTCGTATGAATTTCGACATCTGGATCAGACTCTGTATCTTGATCCGAATGGACCTCTGCTAAGGGGCGTTTCTCCTAAGGAGGCGGTACAATTTCTTGAGTAACTATCTTGGAAGTACTCTTCCCACAAATGACACCAAATGTTTCAGGGTTTTTTGCGAGATATCCTGCGGGAGAGTTACTTCACCAAGATCAGTTCCTCTTCGGTTGTACCTGCAGACAAATGGAAGCTCCGGGTGTTCGGAGTTCCGCCTCCGACGATCAAATTAGTAAAATGTCGAAGTAGAGTGAATGTGCAGAAAGTAAAGTAGATCTTCTCGGATCCCGAGATCAAGTGATTTCTCTGTTGTAAGAGAATTCTAAATGATGTAATAAATGTACGTGCCCCAAAATGGGGTAAATGTTCCTATTTATAGGGCACTGGGAATCAGCGTCCCTTTCCTAGGTTATCAACCTAGATAAATGGGTTGCGCTATTTTTACGACGCCTCGGAATTTAGGCCTTTGAAGGCTGCCTTTTTCCTTAATGATAGGGGATGCCACGTGTCTGCTGATGATTGGTCCTCTTGGGACCTCTCTTATGGTGACACGTGTCACCTTCTAATTGGGCCACGTGGCTTGGGTATTTTTACCCAAATCAAGTCATACATAACAATACGCCAATACTAATAGATTTATGAGAAATCTTAATTATATTGATGTTTCTATGAGTATATATAACCTACATGAGTAAGCAATAAAATTCGACTAGATACATTTAAGTATTTGACTAGATATATTTGTTAAGAGTTAATGATATATTTGAATATTTGACTATCAACCTAAATGAGTAATCAAGGAATCACGCAAACTAGAAACAATAACTAATGATATCAATATCCTTATACGAGTACATGATACTCCATATTAATTAAAAATTCTTTAGGGTATGAACTACAGTAGCAAAGATAGTATTGTACTCCGTAAAAGATTGCTTGACTGTTGTTTGGAAGAACAATATCATTGTTTTAAATTGGCCAACTTTCTTACCATACACATATTTTTGATGGAATGCATCCTAACCATCTTGACTAATTTCTGAATTGTTGTGGTTGATTATTGAACGACACAAAAATTAATGGAAGAGGAAAGGTCAGTGTTGAATCTGGCCTAATTGGTTTTCACCTTGATGTAAACAATTCAACAACGGCTTAAGCAACATACAAATCTAATCAATACAGTCACCTTAATTATAATATCAGTAAGCCTTGTATACTGGTTTAAAAAAAAAGGTAAGCCTTGTATACACTAATATATATGTGTTAGAGCACTTGATTTGTTAAAAAACTTCATTAAGGCTCTGTTCACTTCACTTTAAAAAAATAATATTAAGTAAAAATAATTTCAATTCAGTAACAATAAGGCCCCGTTCACTTTACCTATTTTTGCTGAAGTGAAATTATTTATACTGAAGTTTAATTATTTTTGCTGAAATTAAATTATTTATACTAAACTTTAATTATTTTTACTTAATTGAAATTATTTTTACTCAACCGGAATTATTTTTACTGATTCTCTGTTATATTTCTTCTTTGAAGTTACTTATTTTTACTGAACTGAAATTATTTTTCTTGGACTGAAATTATTTTTACTGAAATTATTTTTTCTCTTATTTGTATTAATTGTGATATTTGTGCACAAAAATAAAGAGGAAAATTTAAGATTTCCTTAATTGTAATTTTTAAAATCTTTTTAATTGTCATAATTCCATAATTGTAGCTTAATTGAAAATTTGATGACATATATTTAAAGAATCAGCGTCAAATTTTAGCTTGTTAACTATTGTGTACCCCAGACGATGCCCTGAGTTGCTAGTTTGTGTACTTCTTGCTTTAATTTAACAATTATGTTCGACTATTTGTATAGTTAGTGTGTATAGTGGTTCGAGCGTTGCTTCGAATGTCACTTTTTTTTCACATCATATGTATTTATATTCTAATCTTGTGAAAAATAAACGAATTATATTACCTTTAATTATCTTAATAAATGAAAGGAATATATAATATCACGTGAAACTTGAAACATTAATAATAATTGGCTGAAATGGTAAATGCATTACCTATATATTGGAGGTAATGAGTTATAATCTTGTTCAAAACATATAGTATAAATGTTAATTGTAATTGAATCGTCAATAATGATTTTATATCCATTCAACTGTAATACAATCATTATATATCTTCCCATATGTAATATATGAGGTAATATTAAAAATTTAGAGATAGTATATTTTTGATATCTTTATTTGCTCATGAGTTTTTGTTAAGTGTTGAACTGTTGACAAAGCATGTGTACTCAATACTCATAATACCAGTACTTTAACAGGTATTGTACAACCGATGCACGCAAAACAACCCCATTAGAAAATCTCGTTGGTTTGCAACGAAAGAAAAGGCAAACAATATTATAAAAATCCCGAATAAAACGCCGCAATTCCATTAGATTTTGGGTACTCTCTATTTTCTCTCTCTTCATCTTCAAACCCAGCACCGACTTCAATTTCCTTCAATTGCAGTTTCAAATTCCTTTATCTCCCCAGAAACTTCCTCCCTTCATCTTTCACTCTCACACTTTCCTTCTTCTTCAATTCATTGACTCCCTTTCTCTCTCTTCTTTCTCTCTCCTCTTTCTCCTATAACATCAACAACAACAACCAATCTTCACTCTCAGATCTACTTCATTCTTTCATTCTTCCAGTTTTACACAGATCTACAACAATGGCGTATCAATGGCGACCTTTCTTTTTCTCTCTCCTCTTTCTCTCTCTTCACACCCACTTCGCCCTCTCCTCAGATCCCCTTTCTCCTTCTCCTTCCCCTCAACTCTCCGCTGATTCCGACATTCTCTCTCCTCCTTCGTCTTCTCCTTCGCCAATCATCTCTCTTCCTCCATCTTCTTCTCCTTCTTCCGACATTGCTTCTCCTTCACCATCTCCTTCAAACGACGTCGTTTCCGACACCAATTCACCCTCTCCCTCGCCGGAAACCTCATCGGATTCTCTCTCCTCGCCGGAAACATCCCCATCCACGTCACCATCTCCGTCAACCGGTGACGCAGATGAATTTGCGAAAGTACAGAGTCAAGAAGCGAAGGACTCCTCTTCCGGCGGAATGAACGGCGGTCATAAAGCCGGAGTAGTTGTCGGAGTAATGGTTGGAGTTGCGGCGGTTGGTTGCGCCGGGTGGATTTACAAGAAGCGTCAAGATAATATTCGAAGAACTCAATATGGGTACAATGCAAGAACAACTATGATCTGAGAAATAGTATGAATATTATTCTTTGGATTTCATATTTGAAATTTAATTGTTTTTTTAATATTGTTGATTAATATACAGTGGTAGGAGATTTTTGTTGTTCGTAATAGTATAATTAGAAACATTTATTGGGTTTTTGGATTTATTAAATAAGTTGTTGTTTCTATGATTGGATTTGGATGAATTATTATTGAACAGGGAGTCAAGTATTATGATTATTCGATTTGTTCAGATTATAGTCAATGTAGTGTATTACGAGTATTTGTTCTTTGGTTTTTAGAATTAATAATAATAATATACAACTAGTATTTTTTTTTTTTTTTTTGAAAATATACAACTTGTATTTTTAATACTGTTTCAATGATTTTTTTATATTTTTTTTATTTGATTGATTATTACTGTAAAAGGAAAAAGAAAAAAAGAAAAACACATGAACTTTAGAGACGAAGGTTTAACGAGAAATATCAGTGGATTCATATGAACATATGAATTTATCCTTATCTTATGTTAAGTATTTCGTGAAGTGTAAAAGAAGGTTTGCCTGCATTTTTATTTATTTTTTACCCCAGTATTTTTGCAGTGCTTTACAATCCACTTCAATAACATTTCATGATTTATATTTTGAGAAAAACATTGTCATTAATATTTATAAATACATAGACAAATATGTAAACAGAATTGTGCAAAAAAAAAAAAAAACAGTTTAAAAATAGAAATAATGATCAAGGATTTTTGAATCACATGAAATATAAAAATCTCCGGCCAAAAAAAAAACCAAGCTTGTATACGGAGTAGTTAAGTGTGAGGATCAAGGAGTGGAGGGACGGTTTAGCCTCTGGTGTGACCACCTTGTATCAAATTATAGTTAAGTGTAATTTTCAATTTTTTTAATTCATAAAAAAAAGAAATAAATAAATAAATAAACATTCGTGTAAATATTACTCCGTACCATTGTATCAATAAGTTAATTGACAGTTAAAAAGAGAGAATCATGATCAGTTAAATAGATGGCAGTTTTCGAGAGACAGAGAGACAGGTAATAAAGTTTAGATTCAATTACGACCTTCCTCATCCCATTCCATATCTACGGAGCATTGCGGATGATTCGGGAGCCCATCTGCTTAAGCTCTACGGATTCCCACTCATTCCAGCAAATCGCACATTTCCTTCGTCATTTCTAGCTTAGCTCCAAGGCCTACCCAATCGCGGTCACTTAAGGAGGTATCACAATTGATTTTAACCATTACCACAGGAGGTGCATTCCACACTTAAGTCGCTGTAAACGCTCGAAGACATGGCGTCTGTCTATCACATATGCACTGACTATATTTGTTGTAGTAATCAATCAAGGGAAGAACACGGTCCATGACTTCCAAGTTGGGAGTCTACTTGTTGAAAACTCTTTATCATTCCTCCTACACTAAATCCACCACATTATAGCAGCACCATTTTGTCTTAGCTTTCCATCGAACTTTGTCCAGGGTTTCTGAGTTTCTTTGAAATCATCAAGATTAGCAGCATCCACCAAATTCTCGCATCCTCATTCTCTTCAAAGATCTTGTAAAGCTGGCAAAAAGAAGGCATGGTTCACTTTTCCGGCGTATTTGAACTCCAAGGACAATTGTCACATTCCATCAGGCGGCGCACCTTGAGTAATGCACGAATAGGTAGAGACCCTGTATACACTTGCCAAAGAAAGTGACTTGACATTGACTTTAATTTGCCCAAACCCCCATGACAAATCCAAGTATTATATTATAATAGGTTATTATATAGGACAATAGGAGAGTCATCCTCAAAAGCTAGCTCAAGAGGAGGAGAGTCCATTGTCCTATATAAACCCCACATTAGTCCCCCATATGACCGATGTGGGACTCAAGTCCCATACCTTGCAATTGACAGTCCTATAACATTCGTCCCTCCTTAAAGGACCAACGTCCTCGTTGGTCATGGCCACGTTTCTTCTAGGCCACCAACTCCATGGGCCACCACTCCGAGGTCGGCTCTGATACCATTGATATAGGACAATAGGAGAGCCTTTCCCAAAAACTAGCTCAAGAAGAGGAGAGCCCATTGTCCTATATAAACCCCACATCAGCTCCCCATATGACGAATGTGGGACTCAAGTCCCATACCTTGCAATGGACAGTCCTATAACAGGCTACTCCGTACTCCTCGGTGAAAAATCAGAAACAAGGCTACATCGTGTAGAAGCTTTTGGTTGCTAAAGAAGTTAAGGAGTTATTATGCAAAATCACAATGTGTAGCTAAAGTGGTGCATAGGTATAAGATCATAGGAGATGATCAATCCGCAAGCAACTAGGCATGACCGTCGCTATGCATCTAACAGGTTAAAAAGGCTAAATCATAAAGCAAAACTCAACACCAGCAGCAAACCTCTTACTTCGGCTTCCAGAAAACCAAACTTTTATGTCAGTACAAGCTACTGTATTGGAGACCATATGTACAATGTATTACAATCCAATAATCCAGTTGGGGGGTAGTTTAAGCGAACACAAACATATTATAAGGTCAAAATTTGTTAATCTACATTCTCATATACAAAAGTGTGTATGTGTAAAAAGAATGCATACTTAGCTTAATCACATAGTATATTATGTAAGCACCACAATATATGCGACTATTTTATCTTTGGAATATTGTTTCAGGAATCTGATCAGGATCAATAACATGACCATGTATTTTCCCCCTTCGACCCAAGACACCCTGGCGAGATGTAGTGGGCGGTGCTGTCGGTAGCTGTATATTTGAAGGTACGGGGACTTCGCGAGAGTGGCCTGATATGCACAAAGCACCATAATCGTCTTGTTCCCAGTACACTTCTACCATCATACCTCTGGGATTTTCTGCAGATTCTGTTCCTGGTATCCCCACATATCGAGCCCCAACAGGTATCTGTAATATATTAAGTGAAAAGGTAAATAAGATTAGAGGCCAGATTAGCAAAGCCTCTTTTACTTCATATTAGTAGATTTCCATGTGAATTAGGCACAACTTTTTTATGGACATACCTCAACTGAAGTCTCGGATGTTGTCAGGTTTAAGGTGACCAATTTTCCCTCAGCAGCAGCACTTTCCATCTCTGCTTGTCTGGCAATATTTAGGAAAACTTCTTCCAGACTAGTAAGAGCAAGCTGGATATCAGCTATTTGGAATTCTGCCTCTCTTTCTTGTAGTTCTTCGAAAAACATCTGGTTAAATGAATATATCATAGGGACATTAGCACAAAACAATTGCTGCAGCAACATTAGAAGAAGAAAGGAACTTGGTGACTGAAAAAAAAAACAGAGGAATTTTACCGTCAATTGCTCCTCTTTTTTATGAGGTATTACAAAAGTCAGGAAGGATTTGCTCTCTTCTTTAGGCACTACACCCAGGTGCTGCAACAAAACATGTAGAAATTTAGACACTAATAAGATCAACCATTGACAAAGAACTTTTGGATCTGTAACATACATCTTTAAAAAACCGCTTGACAGCCTCCTGGGAGTGATTCATATCAGTTGAATCTCCTTCGATAGGGGTTCCATTAAGGTTCCCAACAAAGCTCACATTGGCTATGAAACCAGTTCCAAAGCGTGACTTCAATCTGATAGAAGTTCCAATGCATCGAAGTCTTCCTTTGGCCATAATTCCAATGCGGTCACCCAGTATGTCAGCTTCTTCCATGGAGTGTGTAGTTAAAATAATGGCTCGCCCTCGTTTTGCATTTTCTATTATGTCCCACACATGCCTCCTGCTAATAGGATCCATACCAGTTGTCTGCAGTTTAAAAAAGAACTTATTTATAGCTTATGTTTCATTCAAATATATGAATAACAAATTCTGATGAATTGCATACATACAGGTTCATCCAGAATAATTAATTTAGGATCACCAATGAGAGCAATTGCGACACTTAGACGGCGTTTCATTCCTCCACTGTAACTTGAAGCCCTCATTTTTGCAGCATTAGTTAGCCTCACTTCTGCCAATGAATCCTGGACAACCTGGATATCATAATTAAGTTGAAATTCTTATGAGTGAGTGACAACATTACCCTACTAAAGACTGAGGAATCCATCTTGGATAATTATCATTGTCAATAGTTAGAATTTCATATCTAAAGGCACAAGAAATAGAGGCAATGAAGTCAGGGTGGTTAGGCAAACATACCGTCAAAATTGTAGCACTAGGCAGACCTTTTATATTTGCAAAGAGGTTGAGGTGCTCTTGACCAGTCAATTCATCCCAAAGAATATCAAACTAGAATGCAAAAAAGAGAGCGTTCAGTTGCTTAACTAGAGCTTAATAGATTTTAGCTGTCATCCTGTTTGACTACTCGAATTGTTAAATCATACAGTATCAAAAGACTACCTGTGGACACACGCCTATTATTCTGCGAATATTAGACATGCCAACAGAGCTTCGGATAGAATTTCCATGGATCAATGCTGTGGATCAACAATAATTGTGAGATTAACGTAATCATGAAAAACAGAAATTTAAACCAGAAAGGACAGATTCTCAAACAAACTGTTACCATCTCCACTGGTCACTGGTGAAATTCCAGTCAAGCAATTGATAGCAGTAGTTTTACCAGCTCCATTGGGGCCCAAAAGACAAAATAGCTGATCCTTAGCAAGATTCACCCATAATCCCTGGAGAAATCGACAAATAAGGCATTCTTTACATAAATTTAAACAGCTAAATATCTTTATCAGCAGCAACTTGACAATTCATGGCCTATTCACAAAATGACACTATGTAATTTGAACAAAATTATATTACTGTAAGGTTTTCAGACTAAGTAGCACAATGGAAAAAGTTAAGATTAATAGAAATTTCAGCTCAAATTTCCTAGTTCTTTTTGGGACACATTTCCCTATTTTAAGCAGGCAAACCTTAATGGGAACAATTAATATAGCATAGCTTTGTTTTGTCTTCTGTCCATTCTGATGTAGCATACTGCATTAGTTTTGTCTAACAAAGGAACTGCAAGATTGTTTACCCTGAGAGCATGGTAAGGAGGAGTCCTTTTGCATTTACAGCATCCAAGACTTGTTGATCCGGGATAAACCTTTGCAAGGCCACGTATTTGGACTGCAACATTTGAATCAACAACACCTTCGTTTGCTTGCTGTTTAACATTGTTCTCCTCTTGAAGAACATCCTCATCATCAGGAGTTACATGCTCAAGCTGTGAGGAAGAACTAAAGCAGGTACAGATGCCACCCTCTGATGCATCCATGTTAAGTGCAGTTAGTTTATTGAAAAAAGCTACTAGTGTGATATTTTTTTTTTTTTTTAGGAAACTAGTATGATATATTAAATTAAGAGAACTGGAGAAAAAAGTAAAAGGAAAGGACATGACTTGCTACCTTGTGCCTTGCTTCCACCTTTGCCTGTCCAATATCCAGGATACAAGAAATAGAACACTGATTTCCTTACTCCATAGGGGTTCGGAATAATATTGTCAAAGTAAAGAGCCAAAACAAACCACATAACAAACGTCCCCGACAGCCATATGAAGATATCATTCTGTCACGAGATGGCAGTACATACTTAATGGTTAGCAGTCTTAGCACTAAAATGTCAATAGAGACTAAGCGAATATTTGAAAATGACAGAAGCCAAAAGCATAAGAATCACATTGAAGGGATATGAAAAGGAGAAAAATTTAATAGACTTTATAAATATGTAGGATACAACTTACCATTGTTAAAATACATTCATCATCATTAGGCGAACATTTTGTCCTTCCCTTCCAGCTCATTCCAGGGTCTTGAGGTGTACTAGTTGCATCTGTGAGCATCTGAATACCCTCGGCTAGCAAATTCGGAGGGTAGAAGGACCATAAGACTCTGTATGTTTGAGAGAACATTTTACTGTATGGGAATCCAAATGCTGTCACAATCTGCACAATATGAAATAACATCAGTAAACAGTCTATTGGTTTCCCTGACTTTAAACCAAAAACTCTGAAAGGAAATTAGAGAAACTAGCCTGGGTGATTAAGCCAATAATAAAGTTGTAAAATCCTATGTTTGTAGCTGAAGATGACCGGCTAATGAAGGCTGATAGCGCAAATGCAAAGACAGTCTGACATATGTATAGCAAAGAGCAGATAAGAGGTCAGTGGATGAAAACAAAAAAAGTAGTATTACAAATTACGAAATATAATGATGCAGTAGAGTTTATGAACAATAAATAATATATAATCCTGTATTAACTGTGAATTCAAAACTGGTCAATCAACAAAAGAAACAGGGAGCTTACCATGTTTAATTGGAAAAGAAAGAACACAAGGAATAAGATCGCAAAATTGTTGTGCAAGAAAAAATCAAACTGAAACATCATCCCAAATAGTACGATGAAAACTGATGAAACAACAACAAGAAGTCCCTCCCAAGCTAGCCATGACAGCCAGTAGGCAGTATCATACAGACCCATCATACTCATCACCTGAAAAGGCACAAATTGTATTAGACATGGAATCTTCAGTGTACTGCAGAAATGTTCCTATAAAAATCTGTTTCATGTAAACTGTTCTCCAGAAAATAAAGGGAAATAACCTCTCTAAGTTTTAATTCTTTCTCCATCACCAGGGAACTCAATTGGAATACAAAGCCAAACATGGCAACTGCAAGGAAAAAGACTGGACCGATAGTGGCAATGATGGAGAAGGGGTCATCTGGAGGATGAGCAAATTCTTTCAAGCCTACTGTCCAGCTAAAGTTTGGATCTGACCAAGCAAAAAAATCCAGGAAAAAGGCAGCATTGGTTAAACATAACAAAAATCTGAAAAGAGATAAGATCAAGAGTACCAGAAAGTAGAGGATACCTCCAATAAGAAACCTTGCTATCTCTCGTTCTGCAGCAATCTGAAGTGGAACCTGAAATTTGAAGGTAGGATCTTCATACCTCCCTCTTTTTTGTACTTGTGTAGAATTAGTTTGAACACCATAGCTTATTATGGTCGCATTTTGTTCTACAAAATGCAGTGCTCCTGGACAATGCATTGGGTTGCTAAGAAGCCATGCGTCAACCTCAGCTTCCGTTGCAAAGGACTTAACCTGCATAAGCAAGCGCGAATATAAGAATTTATCATTGAGCATGAATGAGAAAGTTTTTGATTTGCAAGTTTCATTTCTCTCTTCAGCTGTCCCTTTCCACTTCACAATGTAAATTTTAGACTGCAGCATCCATGTTTAATAGGAAATATGTCATAATGCCAATAAATTATACTAGTACTATCTTGAACTTTAGCTTAAGGTCTCAGATAATTTAACCAGAAGTAATCATGATGTAAAAGCAGCTGAATTCATAAGACGTAAAACAAAGCGAGCTCAATGTGTCATTTCTTATTTTAAACAGCCACAGCAATGTCTCTACCAACTTACAACAAAAGAAAAAATCCCTTCTCCCTAATCATTTTCCACCTTTGGAATTCTTGATTAGAAACTGTCAGTTGTGAATAGAGGCGGCTTTAGAATCAGGTTCCAATCCGGTCAAATTGGTCTAGAAAATGCTAGTTAACCAATTCTTAGTGCAGTCATATTGAGGGCTTATTGTCGATTAACTTATTATGATAAACCGATTAATTTTATTTAGCTCGAGTCAAGTAATTTCGAGTGCAATTTAGATTTGGGTATGAACATTCTAATCATAGAGAATAGTAGTCACTACCCCTTCTCCCAACCTCTTTCAAAGAAAAGTCCAAATACAAAAAAGTCAATTAAAAAAGAGGTAAAACTAAATGTTTTCTAAGAAAAATGTGTACAGGTAAGACATCGAAACTAAGTATCTAACACACCCTAGACCCAACATCTTAACAAACTTTAGCTCAACTCGTAAGACTAGCAAAGAATAGTCACTCTACTTGTAAGATTTGCTAAAAACTAATACACATCGTCACACATGTAAATAACCAATATACGAAGTACTTTTTAAATCGTTATTTAATTGAAATTTTTTTCCCTCCATTTTACTCCGTATATGTAAATAAAAGTAACTAAGGTTAACAAGAGTCAAGAGACCTCCTAACACCTCATTTCTTAAGTTACATTCACTAAATTCGCCCACAAAGGAAATATATCAACTATTATCTATTTATCATTGTATATCATTTACCATCATTGAAAATGGAAACAAAATCAATAAAATAAAAATTTATAAGATTCAAATAACCTGTACATAGCTCAAAGGACTAAAACTATTACGGGGTATGTTAGATATGATAAGATTTGAGTTTTACTCACAATTACTTAACAGAGTAACATAAGTAAATGTTTATACGCCAAAAACTTATGCATAACCTTAAATATTTTTAGTCACGAGCAAAGGTAAACGTAAGTTCATATTTGAATTTTTTTACTCTATATGCACAATGTAAAATGTATTGTAATACGGAGTAAGTCATATTTTTACCAAATCTCACCCTTCTACCAATTCAATAATCGGGTAAATTACACTATCAATGTAACTATTAATTCCGAAAAGAAAAAAAAAAAAATACCCTGTACCTTAGGAGGTGGAATAGGACGGCCAGGATTATTAGCCATAATTCTGGAAACAATACGCTTGACATTAGGATTTGAGGCACCGCTATAAACGAAGTCATAACAAGGGAGTTTGATGAAGAACTTGTCTTCACAAGGCGGAATCGCGGGCGAAACAAGCGGCTTTGGATCGAGAAGATTCTGGAAATTAGTGGTGTTCTTGAACTGGGCATCGAATGCTTTTTGAATACAGAACATCAAGAAGATGAAGATTAATGAAGAAAATAGTTGGAGAATTGTTGCCCATTTATGACGCCATGAAAGCAATGCGTTTTTACAGAATAATGATTTCAATTGTTGTAATAATAATGGAATCCCCTTTTGTAATTCCATTATTATTACTCCCTAATAGTAAAACGGGTCGTGTTCGTGTTTTGTTTTTGAGGATTTGGATTGGTGTAATTAGCAATGATATGGAATCCCTTGTAATTTTCGTTGACACTGTTCTATATTGGTTTTGTGAGTTAACAGAAATTTGATATTGGATTGGTTGGAATTTGGTTGGGATTTTGAATAAGTTTGGCTTTTAAAAAAAATATATAAAAAAAAAAAAAAAAATACAGATTCGGATTGACCTTTTGACTTTTGGAAGGATGCCATAGAAATTTCATAGGAAGGGAGTTGCGTGTTTCCCTTTGTTTTGTGGAGGCGCGTTGGAATGGCTATTTTTAAGGTTGCGATTTTATTTATTTATTTTTTTATTTACATGGGAAAGGTTGTGAACTTGTGCAAATGTAAGTGTAATTTAACAACTAACACCGTTTATAATAATCGCAATTTTTTTCTTTTTCATCCGTTTTTTAATAATTGCAACACATTCTTATTGAAAAGGATCCACATTTATTTTATTATTTCTAACAAACCCACTTACATTATTAATTTTTTTTTAATTATTTATCTCTCCTACCAACAATTAGAGCTGATCAAAGCTGACCCGTCTGACCCAGTCCGATTTTTTTTTTGTTTTTTTGGACGGGTTTGGGAATGCATTTTTATGCTATTTTAGTTCATTTTTTTGCCCGTAAATGGTCTGAAAAGCCCATACGGCCCGACGAGTAACGGGCAGATTTTTAGCTCCAGCTTAGCCCGCCCATTGATCAAGTCTACTAACAATTAAATATATCCCCACTAACTACACTTTATACTAACAAAAAATCTTCTTTTTGTCCCCACCCTATAAAATTCCTTAAACTTTGTGCCCACCCTACTGTTGCGATTATTATGAAACGAAGAGAATATATTTTATTAACCGATAATCGGCCACTTGTGGGACTGACTCCCGATCAGGAAGTACCGGCAGCTACTCGACCTTTTACCCGCCCATTGCCTAACTTCAAATCCTGCTCCCTCTCCCGGTCGCTCTTTTCTCTAATCAAAGCTATCGCATTATTTGCCCAATTTTTTTGGTAGGTACCGCCACGCGGCTTAATTCCGATCACTTCCGGTAAAACAGACTACTTGAAATTCAACAGACCCTCTGTTTTCTTCTTTTTTTTCCTTCGAAATAATGGATATGAATGGATTTTTTTCATAAATTCTTAACCTTTAAGGGCGAGAAGTCAGAATTCTATTGGAGACTTCACTGCCCCGGGAAGATGTGTCAGCCCGGTCGATCTGCCCAGGTCGCCTTGGCGAGCTTTATTTAAGAGAGACTGGGGAGTAAAAATACTTCTGTTTCCGTTCTTGGTTTGCTCTTCGCCTCTCACTCTTTTTCGGATTTTCCGCGGCACAACAGTTCTTCCATACCAACTTAGCTGCCCGGCGCTACTATTGGCATATTAACCGATACGCCAAATGAAATCCTTTTTCTTCTTGTAAAAAACAAAGTATATACAGGTGATTTTCAGTTGTGCATGTTGAGAATAAAAAATCAATAGGTGTAAAAAATAGATGAATGACAATGTGTAATTATTGTAGGAATATAAAATTGAAACGATATATAGGGGTTTGCCAAGATAAAATGTAGAATTGAACGAAGTATAACAAAATTAAGATGTCAATAAGCCAATACACTCATGAACTAGCTCGGTCAATGTTTATTCATTAGTATATAAACGAGTTTGAACAAAAACATCAATTCGATGGTTTCCCAAGAATGTTGGTTAATTGAGCCGAATGGCTCATGAATCGACCAGTTCCGAGTAGATTCTTTCAAGCTTGTCAAGTAAATGAATCAAGCTCGAACAACTATGTGTTTGTCGACTCGTTTAGGGCATGTTATATTTACCCTATTTTCACTTATGTATTTTATATCTAATAAGTTCAATAACTGTACAAACATAAGTTCTCGGTAGGGTTATCCAAGTTCAAGTACTATATATTAAAATTAGTTTTAATAAGGTCCAATAGATTTAGATTATTAGTTCATATAAAATCAGGTGAATAAAAGCCTCTTGAACAAACAACTACCAAAAGGGTTGGCTTAACCTCTCAAGTGGTAATAACTAATAAGCAGCTTGATACCATTTAAGCTAAGGGAGGTCGATCTCGGTTCAAGCTCCACCGTTGTATGTAGAAACTCTTGTTGGGAGACTCACCCACCATAAACCAAGTGTATAACACGGGTCGAATCCGAAATGTACGTAGTTAGAGCTAAGCTCTGATAAAGCAGATGGGCTTTTTAAATTATATAAAAAATAAAAGTGTTGAACAAAAAAGGATAACTTACTTTCAAATTAACCAAACATGCATGTTTATATGAACACCTCCTATTTCCCCCTCTAGTTTAGCTTACACGACTATACCGCTATACCACCAAACATGGAAAGATATGCGCAACTTGAACCCTTCTAACGAGGTGGACATTAATATTAGTATTACCCTCATAACACTTTGAAGATTATCATTAAAGCAGCCTATGCAACTTTGCATTGTTTGGAGCTTGAACTTGAGTTAGTTAGCTAATGGAATTTCTTCTAATTAAGACTCAAAAAAGTGAATAACTTTCTTTCTATTCTAGGTCCATTTGCTAAAGTCTTGATGTTGCCAATCAAATTATTTTCTTATATCTCATGGAAGGAACATTCATTTTAAGTTTGTTGCAAAATCTTGTGATACGGTATGCAAGCAAAAGACCATTGAAGTATATAAATTTAACAAATTTTTAATATTTATTTCGAAAACTAGTCAAAAGACCTTATGATCATCACTATTTATTTGTACAATAGAACTTTAGAAGTTTTTAATTTTTTTTTTTTAATTTTTTTTAATTTTTTTATTTTTTTATTTTTCTTTGACAACAAGAACTTTAGAAGTCAAGCTAATGAAGAAAATGAAATTTCGGACTATGCTCATTATATATATCATAATCATATAACTTTGAGTATGTAAATTTTGAATTATTTGAACAACTTTATGATTACACGTTAACATGCCACATTGCATACAACAAAATTGAGAGTGAGATTCTCCAACCCTTGAATATTCTCACACATGCTTCTGTCATAAATGAGGCTGAAAAAGTACATTTTTAATTAAATAAAGAAAGAACATCTTTAATTAAATTAAGGAAGAAGTGAATTAGTATTTGTTGTTTTCTCAAATTAGAACACATTTCAGAAAATAAATTAATTAGTAGTACGCGGAATTATTAAGTTGTGGAATAGCACTATTCTTCTTGTTCTCGTAAAGTCTTATGTAGTATATAATAATATTGAATTTTGGTCTAAGTCAAACTAAGATCTCAATTTGATAAAATACTAGTTGGTAGTACAAAGTTCCTCTCAAAAAAAGTTGGAACTATAATTTTAAATTAATAATTAAGGCTTGTGCTTAGATGTGCTCATAAGCAAAGTTCATGTCATTACGCAATGACTTACGTCGTTGCATAGTCGTGTCACTAAAATACGAAGTATATGTTTAATTAGATATTCATCGATTCGATCTAGTGAAATTTTATATGCTACAACAATGCAACTTGTGTGTTGATGAAGGAATATAGTGTATCCTCAAAGATTCAATGATTTTATACAAATGGTGAAATGGCTAAATCGTGATTATGTAAGGGTAAACTAGACATTTAGACAAATACTCAACTTTGAATTGAAAATCATTCAATGCATGAAATAAATCAATGATTTCAAACCATACGTCATGATACACCATCATGTACATTGATATCTCTCTTTAAAGATTCAAATGATATTTGGTTTAGTGGTAAATATAAATAATTATATATCATAACTTTAAGTTTTGGGATCAATCCCTATTATGTGCACTTGATCTAAAGTGGTGATTCTTAATCCTCAAATAACGTTGTTTGCTAATCCGATTTGAGTTGGTTTGTGTAAATTTCTATATAATTAATTTAACACCTTTTTTTAGAGATGATTTATTCGTTTTAAAGTTGTTAACATGTTTTAACTTCATGGTCAATGATCAAGGAAGTGTAATAATCATTCTAGCGTCATACTTAAATAAGTGATTTTGACTTCAAACTTGAAGGAAAGTTCCTTCATTTCACATTCTTAAGTAATAAAATAACAAATTAATAAATTGTTAATAATTCAATAATAGGACAAAAAGAAGAAGTCCCGCCATTATTTAATATTCGTTTGTGCAATGAAATGTTAACGTTATGAATATAAATAGAGTGAACATGAATATATTAATAAAGTTAGTACGAGTACATTTAATTTTATATTAATGTGAATTCTGTCATTTTACAATAATACTGCGCGTATAAATTAATATTGATTCACACTATGAGTACTCTTAATCAATTCAATGTTAATTGGGTTGAAAAGATCGGAGGGGGTATAGCTCAGAACAATGAAGATTCATCTTAGAGATTAAGCATGTTTGTTTTTTTTTTTTTTTTTTTTTTGGGCCAAGAGCAATGCCCAATTTTAATGACTAAATTTTCATAAAAAAAAAGAAAGAAAGAAAACCAAGGATATGAAAAATTTAGTGATTTTTTTTCCTTAAACTAATATACTCCCTAAATATTTAAATTAGATTATTAGTGGAATAAGATCATCGATAAAAACACATTCTCAATTCTATTTTTCTTAACATAATATTATTTTTTTTATTTTGTTTTAATTTTTTTTCCCAAATAAAATGAGGAGAAGATAGGGTTATTAACATTAAAGAGTATGCATTTGCTACATCATTGGTTTTTTAATTGAATTTTTCTTTGTTACATCAAGCAGTTGAAAATTCCTAAGGATATAAGTATATATTAATGTAGTTGAGTCTATCTTTTTGTATGAAAGGGTGTAAATTGTGTGATTGAGTCTAATTACGATATTTTACCCATAAAATTAGACCATTAAACAAATATATATTTTTATTTTCAATTAATTGTGTAATATGAAGTATATAAATAGTATATCACATTGAATAATTCTCTTGAATCTTGATCAATGATGAATCATATATAACCTTTAGTTAAAGTTTTAAAGGTGACACTAAGATATGAGATCTAATTTTGTTTACATCATTTGCCTTTGTGGCTCTTTATATATCAAAAACATATAAAGTATATACGAAGTATATTTATTTATTAACTTATTTATTTATTTTTTGACGGGAATCAAGAGAATTTTATTAACTCAAAAGCAATAATATCATAGATTACAAAACTAGAAACCTCAGCTGGCACTTCTTCAAGCCAGACCCTCATAGCTCTTTAATACAACTTATACAAAGTAATTTATTTTATCAAATAAGCTAATTAACAGCCGAATATTAAAATGCGAGGATTGACCAAGGGGATGATCGGGTTGAATTTTGACTATTTCGAATCTTATGACAACGCATAAGCTGTAGTAGATTATAACACTAATGATATAAAATTAGAGTGCAACTTCCGTGATTACAGAGGTAATCAGATGGAAATTTCAACGCAATTTACCAAAAAAAAAAGTGCATTGTTTTTCCAAGGGGGCAAATTCGTACTTTAAAGAACAAAACCCATGAAAATCACAGCTTAAATTTAACGGTCAAACTCACAAACCCAGTTTGAATTTGTCTGTTTCAAAAAATTCCATGGCAATTCCTTCACATGGGCGCGCCAGTTTTTCTACTCAGGCCAATGCTCTTCTCCGAAAAAACTTGGTTTTTCAGGTACCCTTTTTTCTGCATTTTTAATGGGTGCAATTAATTTAAACTTCATTTTCTGGGGTT